GTTATTATCATTTGAAAGTAAACAAATCTTAAAAATTAATAGTATAAATACATTTATTTTCAAACATTTTGTGTTTCCATCACTCTGCGCGCGTACTAAATTCCCGGTTTCTAGACGTAATTTAATACAGCGCAATAAATTTTAACTTACTCCATATACAATGTATTTACATGGTAACTACGGGCAATAATTAAATACCTTAATGTCAACAACCACAACTCGTATGCACTGCTATAGGTTACTAATGGACAGACGGACTAGATGGGGACACGTCATTTAAAATAAGGTGTTATTATAATACAACTAGTCCGTTTAACTGTACAAATATAATAGTGTGAATATCCAATTAATTGTTGAGCCATGATAACTACTTTAGAAGCTAAGAAAAAACTGTAAAAGGATAAAAATATAATTGCCTTTTACGGCACGTTACGCCCGGAAGTCGTCGTCGCGAGATCGCCAGATGTGAATCCATCGATCGCCTCTCCCTGCCATAGGACTCGCGAAAATTAAACGTCAACGGTTGGTGACAATTTCAGCGGTGTTCACTCGGACGTATTAGAATATTACGCTTAATATTACTATACAACTATAGCTATTGTGTACGTCGACTGCAATATAACGTTATGTATTATAATCGTCGGCACAAGCTTATCACGTTTAGTTTAACTCGGCACCGACGACGCAACGATCCAGCAAGTAGTATAATGATAGACAATATAGGTTAATACAATGTGTCCCGTAAAGGAATGACCGGCTGGAGTCGTAATATTATGATAGTACTCATCTTGAGTTATGCAAAAAAAAAACCCTTTAAAGGGTGTGTCTGACATTTTAATTTTTTTTTAGTTTTGGGATATTCGACTTTTTTTCAAACAAACCGAACCTACCGCACACTCGCTGATGTATCTTCAAAATATTTCTACTTTTTTGTTTTTTTAAAGCTATTTTACTGTGTATGTAAACCAGAAATGTTCAAATTATTTTTATTAAATTAAAAACAGTAGAATTCTGTAGAATAATAAAATACAAATAAAAACTGTAGTAAATACTGCGTAATTAGAAGTTATACGCGATTCCTTTTAAAAATGCTAATTTTGGCCAACCATTTTTACTTTTTAATTTAACAAAAATAATTTGTATATTTCTGGTTTGATTGCGTATGTTTATAGCACAATAAAATAGTTTTGAAATATCAAAAAAATTACGGTAAAAAGTTGACAAGTTTTGAAGATACGTCAGCAAATGTGTGGTATGTTTGTTTAAAAAAAAGTTGAACGATAAACAAATAAAAAGTCAAACCATTTCAAATTGGTTTTTTGTCATAACTTAAGGTGTACAATGTGTACTATCATATTATTATGACGTCGGACGGTCACTTCTTCAGGGAACCACGTCATTGTATGGTCTGCAGTATATAATATAGACATTCGAAACCTGCAGCAGGTCGGGTAACCGTAAATTTCTCGAGGGAAAAAAATAGAAGAAGACAATAAGTCGAATGCCGAAAGACCCGAACGTATCTCAGTGCAGGCTGTTTGCTCGTCACAATAATATACAAGCGAAGACGGAATGCGTTTTGGAATTGACCGACTGGGAAAACTGCGGACCGCTAGCAATTACGTCGGATACGTCGACTTAAATAACACGAACTTTACCAATATTGTGAAATGTCGGTGGCAGGAAAGTTCAGTGGCGTCGTGGCCGTTGAGTAGTATAATCGGTACAGCATTATTTTGTATTGTCTGCAATACACACACACACGTGGTCATCTCACGCCTGCACTTTTGACCCCAGGCGGCCTATGGATAACGATTTTCAAAAAAAATTTCTTAGATGCTGAGTTTCCTAGGGATGGGGGAAAAATTCCACGGATTACGTCAAACGTTGACTACCCTTTATTCGTAACTATCTACTGGTTAGGTTCGGTATACAATTAATAACCGGATTTTTAAATCGAGTACGAGCAATTTATACTGCAACAATAAAATTCATTCGTGTAGTAATAGTTTAACTGAACAATTTGAACAATTAAAAATATATCAGTCCAAAATCGATCCTATAATCAATCGGTAAAACAATTTACATGTACTGGCCCACACAAATTTCGTAAATTTTTTTCAAAAATGCACTAGGTAGGTATATAATATTATGTTATTGTGATAATATCATGTCGACATTAACGCTAAATTTAATTAATTTTTTTTTAAATGGAATTTTCAACTCGATGGCCAACTACTGATATAAGTAACCGTGAGGTTTTAGTATTGACCGTTCCGACCTCCCAACCCACTGATGTCAGTGCTGGATTTACCTGGAGGGGGTCTAGGGGTACTGGTTACCGATACTGACCCCGATATTAATATTTTTAAAAATACAGTCAATACTTGTTTTTAATAAAATTATTACCTTTGAAATACATATTATTTTTCATCCCCCTCCCTACCTAGAACAATGTTGAAAATCCACCACTAGGTGCAACAACTTTCTCCGTCCAAACGCCTATCAATTGCCAATGTCCGTGTTCGTGGTGGGACAAAATAATAATATTTCAAAATGAAATAATAATATAAAATAATGAATATTATTATGTTGCCGTCATACGATGAGGGTATAGAGTGTAAATCGTTTGGGTCGTTACACTATTCACTCGTTCGTATACACGTGGTGCCCTCGTATTATATTATTACAATACTTTAACCTCTGATATAAAATATGTAATCACACAATCGCAACACTATTGAAAATTGGATATAAATAATGAATGATTTTCTGACGGTTTCGCGCAGTATAAATTGAATTTAAGTGCCCCCGTAAAAAAGGGTATTATTTTCCCTCTATGATTATTCTGCTGAAATGCTTCTGGTATGAAAAAAATATCGAAAATCGTCAAATTATTTAATTATAATGCCGCAATTATTCAACATGAAATAATATTATGAACTGTGACTCGTATATTCCAGTATTATTCGATAAATAATCCAATCCTTATACAGTCATTACTAAAACTAAAAAAGCTTACCTTGAACACAGATAACTGGGGTTATCCTTTAAATTAGCCCCTCGAAATTCAATCGGCCAGTATTAAAAGGCTTACGAATTCGTCGTTAAAGTGTATTACATATTTATTCATACCTACGTTTTTTTTTTCGTTGTCCAGTGTCCACTTGACGAAACGGAATGAATGAAGGTAGTATGTGCACCTATACAGAGATCGGGAAATACGGAATATGGTTACCTGGTCAAAATAAAATATACAAGTTGGTTCTCGATAAAAATTACTTATACAACTGTTCGAATTGGTCCTCATACAAATGGCTGGTAATAATATTAATGGGATCTGATGACTTTGATTTCCCACCAAACATCCGGACAGAATTATCATATACTTCAAAACGAACTACATATACAAACCTATATGCCAACTATTTGACGGACACCTTTATTCAGAATCGACTTCCTCTCACCCCAACGTTTTTTTATTCATTTAAAAATAAATCCGATACGAAATATATCTAAATCAAAGAAGTACCTACTCTTAAATTAAAGTTAAGAAATACAGCTGAATACGAAAAGGGAATTGGTGAACAAATAAAAAAAATTCAAAGAACTGCCAATTTTTGAATTTACAACTCGTTAAAATGTATGAGTGTATCTGTGTATGACATTCTTATTTTTATTATAATTTATTTTAATTAACCTTTGACTTGTTTTTAATTGGGTTGAACTGTATTATTTATTATATACCTATTTTATTATTAATTTAGTAGTATTGATATAGTATATACGTATATAAGCTATAAGTTATACTTGTATATCGACTTACTATACCAACACGTTTAAGCATACCTAGATGGCTGGATTCTAGGCACTCCTAATCCTGTCTTAAATTGGAATATTATGGTGTATACCTATAGTATAATATTATGATCAGTTGGTAAAATAAAATTTGAATTATAAACCATAATATAACTCAGAATAAATGGCTAAAGTTATTTTATAATTAAAACAACACGCTCTGCATAACAAGTAACATTTAATAGGCTCACTTCTGGTATGCTCATCAGTTAAGTCATACGCTTAACTGCATAAGTGAACAAGACATACTCTCGAATAACAATGATCGCTGAACGTGTAGGTTAATATGTGCTTACACTCTTAGAACTTACACCAGAGAACAAGCAGTTAAGGTACTATCTGAAGATTCTTATATGATTAACAGTATATATAATCCACGTCCTCTGGAATTCTTCTTTAACTTATTCTACGTCCGTGCTGGTTTTTTCATGTTTAACAAGACTTCTACATCCAATGACCCAAAATGCAATCATGGACCCACCATGCAATCATACTTAGACAATTATTGCCTATGTATTATTATTTGTATTATTATTATTTTAGAGCTGTTGTCTTTTAACAATTATTAATCTTCACTGTTATCTACAATTGCATTTAATTGTATTACAAATAATGCAATATTAGTCTTAACTATTAGTTATACATTGATATTGATATTTGTTTTTAAAATCTAATTTGGGTAGGCTGATTATTTAGAAGAAAAAAAGGGTTGATATATGAAATATCTGTAGGAAAGGCGGTCCAATTGCCAATATTAAACTCTTTAAGAACAGGTGGTATCGAATCGCCTTCATCATTTCGATACCCAGATCTTATCATAGAAAAAAAAATTGAAAAATATTTTTTTCATGTTCAAGAATTAATAAAAATCTCATAAAATATAACAACCATGTAATATGCTTAAATGTTGGTGAATAATATGTAATTTTATACTTACTTCAGTATATTTAGGATTATAACTGACAAGTACCCATATATTATTTAGGTTTCTATAATTAAAACTGTATTTAAATACATTTTCAGAGTTTGGTACTCATACGAAATGGTTTAGTTTGAGTACGACCGCTCATGTTATACCTACATAGTATATATATTTTAAAAAACGTTCAAACATATTCATATCATTTTTTTCTAAAAATCAGCACTCAAAATGTTTCAGACGTAGCGATTAACAAACCGTGTTTTTTCAACGAGCAATGTGAGAACCTCGTATTCCAAACAGAGTGCAGAGATGATGTTTGCTCTTGTCGGTTCGAGAGGACTCCGGTGTTTCAAACGGATGGATCAGTACAATGTATTGGTAGGTATTGAACATATTATTGTTTTAATATCCGACATTATTACATAACAAATATTATACGTTAAGGATTGAAAAAAAAAATGTATTGAATAATAATCATGAATCATGATTTGATAACAGTAAGCACAAGGCGACTCTTTTTTAACTCAACACTTTCATATTTATTCTGTCTATTTCGATAAAAACGTTTTCATGCAATTTTAATTTCCTGCATAATATGGTATTTTTAATTATTAAATAATTTGAAAACTTTTATAACATTTTTAAAATATACTCGCCATACTATGTACATTATTTTAAAAATATAAATTGTACTTACAAAAATAAAGTATTCGATACATAAATTACGATATTTCTTAACATATTTAAAATATATTCAAGTCGATTAATATACTCTGTGTCGAACGTTAGAAAAAAATACTCTACATCTCTATAGGTGTAATATATCACATAAATAAAATTTTGAAAAACGCGTTCAAATTACACGACGTACTCGACGTACTTGAACGTTGCATTCGTTTTAACTTCAATTGAAGACGACAACATTAAAATACGTTTTCGTTTATATATAAAAAAAAAAACATGTACAATACTTATTGTTTTCAAAACAGAATATATTTATTTTTTATAATACGTATAATGTTATACCTACTCGTTTTTTTTGTTTTTATTTTTAGCCAAGAACAATTCCAACTCCGAACCTTATACTGATCCAGCAATGCTGTGCGTGTTGGCTGGGATGTGTTTAATGTTCATTATTATATGCGTAGTACTGAGATTATTTAGCAAGTAAGATTTTTGTTTTTTTACTTTCGTAAATCAAATGCTTGTTAGTTGTTCTACATTCGAACTCCACACACTAATGATTAATCTACGTCCATTTCCCTGCGACCGTTAGGCGACGACAATATTGTATCTTTATGACTGTCTCATAATCAGTAATCACTAATCGTGACAATAATATTAATTAACCAGTTAGATACTTAGATATATTATATTATTATTATGATAAATATCAGACGACAACATAATAATATCACGCGTCACAGTATTGAGGAGTTACAGGTGTTTGAAACATTTGTCTCGCACGCGACTTATTCAGATTTATTCCTAATTGGATATAATATTATGTATTTATGTGATTACTAAAATCCAAGTAATACAAAAGTTTTTAAATCCAATTACATGGCTGACATGCATAAAATATTTTGAAAACGTTTCCATACACATTTTCCACCACTAAATTTAAGCTATGTATTTTAAAACGTAGTTTAGCTGCAGTGAGGGTAATAGTCATATTTTACAAATCCGTAATGAGAAAGTCGACCTATAATAATAGTTTTTGTCACAGTTGTGTGGACGATAAATACCAAACTTTTAATATTTATTGTATAATCAAACTACGCAGTACATAAATTCTTTAAATCTCCGTCCTATCCACATTTTCAATAAATAATAATAATAGAGCCAGTTAACTGTTTTCTTAGTACAATGTTCGATAATTAATATGCTTTCTAAAAAGCAAATATTATCAAACGTGATACAGGAATAATCAGAAACTGTTTCGGGTGTCTTTTAAGTAGCTTATAATCATTGCAGTTGTTGAAATAATTTAAAAAATTACAAAAACAGTTTGCAATACTTTAATTCAAAACTAATAATTGTTTGAATTTTTGTTTTTATTAAAATTTTTTGTTCAAAGTATATGAAATCTCAAATCTTTACTAATTTCTTGTATAGGTATATTCGTAGAAATCACATGAACTTTTCACGCTTTTCATCGCTTCAGAAATGATTCAAAATAAATTTCAAAACACACACACACACACCATTCTGTATACAACCATACAAGTTCGCTTCCCGTTTGTAATCTAAAATAAAGTAACCGTTCAAAAGTATGAACGATATCGTCAAGTGAAAAAATTTGAAAATTATTTTAATTTGAAATAACACAATGATAATATTAAACTATAAGGAAACTGTACTAGAAAACAGACTGGATTTTAATGTTTCTGTTTCTATAGGGCACGTTGGAGAGAAAACCGTACGATATTCAACACGCCCAACCCGAGATTGATGAACGTGTCGCTACTGAGAGACAACAAACCACCGCCCGGAGCAGCCGGCGAACGTAGAGGTAGCAAATCCAGTACAAAGACCCATTCCCCTTCGAGACAACCAAGCATGGCCTCGTTGAAGCCCCATTCGCCTTCTTTAGGTTAGAAACCTCTATCTCTATCTATATAAAGCTTCTTCGTCGACTCCGTGGAGATCATTTATATACGCGACACGCCATAATAAAATACGGTCTTTAAATCTCCAAACACTATTATAGTATTATTATGACTTATATGCGAATCATCGGACCTGCACTTTCGCGGAAATCGTTTTGTTTTGGCATGCGAACGAATGGATATCTTCGAAATAAAATCTCTGTATCTCTTACAAAAAATAACAAAAGAAGATCAATTTAATATGTCTTCCGGTCTTAAATGAATAGTACCTACTAAAACTATACCTACGAATATCGTGTCATCGGTACGTAAATAGATTATAATTCATTGTATTGTGATCGTGTCCAATTTACAGTCGTTTCGTTATCGTTTTTCACTACAGTCGTCTACAACTCATACGATGTGCGGCCTTCATAATAATAGTCTTCTTCGTAGTATTCTCGACAAAATGTTATCCATCAGACCAGTCGAAACGTTTCTGAAAAAAAATACTGACGTTTTAATTATAATAAATTAGGGATCGGATTTAAATACCCTTCTTAATAACATCAAAAAATGCAATTATATGACATAACACCTAAAACTCTGAAAATTGCCTTTCAAAAAATACATTGTTAAAAACTCTAAAATAATTTCCGGAGTTTACCCCATATTTCTTCAGAGATCAAGATACATTTTTGAACCATTTTATTTAAAAACTAGATTACCTTTTTAGTGCAATAGGTATGTGTATTTATTTATAATTTTTTGTTTTTTTGGATATAGGTAGGTTAAAAAATGACCTAAATAAATAAGTAATGCCCTCAAAACGTTTAAAATTGCACTTAAACGTCAAAAACTCCGAAAAACGCAAAAATTCCGTTTTTAGCATAGTGTTGAAACCCATTAATTGCATCTTGGAAAGTATCATGTATCATGCCAAGCATTCCAGAAGATGAAATCGCATCGAAATCCGAGCCCTAATTATTATAATATTTACAGTTAATAACATTATAGGTATATAGGACATAGGTACGATACCTACGACTAAGTTGTGTATAGTTTTCGAAATTTCGTTATTTTCTTTGCTTTGGACAAACAAAACAAACGAAACACTATATGTAGACAGTAGCCAGACATAATACGCTTGACCGATAAAGGCTCGCTCTATGGTTATTATGACGTTTGTTTACCGACAATCGCATGATTACCACGGTAACGGAGGTCCAAAGATGATTTTGAACCGTTTTTGATTTTCGAGACCAGTTTTGTCTATACAAGAGATATTTTCACGAAGGTATTTATTTTGACCGATCGCCAAACAATACTTACGATTACGTTCTTGCTCAATGTTCGATAATAATAATATTATAACGTCATCATGACAGTAACCATCTGACGTTTCATACGTCGTGCAATAGAATGTTATTTAATATTTTGTTATATTATTACCGTTGAATTAACATCGACAAATATGTACATACTCTTCCGCGACGTTTCAAGGCGGAATCTAAAGTACATGACAACACGATCAAAATTTAAATGTGCAGCAATAACACATTTACGTCGAGCTTGGACACACTAACGAGCATCGTGTCACTTTTTTTCAAACATAAATTTATTTTAATTATTCAAATGTGACCGACAAATGTTTACCCCGATATTATATTATTACTGTTTCGACAATCTTGATTTCATAGACGTTTTTCAGTCGTTCCCTACATTCGCAACTAATAAAGCATATTATATCGTATACGTCACATATCATAGACCATTTTACGAGAATCGTCATCGGGATTTCACTCGACGTAAAAATTATTGCTACGATCAGTTTTTTTTATTTTATGCGACTCTCCGCCACGATTTATGTGAAACATCGCTAATTAATATCACAGTGCTTTAATACGACGTATTTATATTGTGTATTTTTAATTTTCCTTTTTTTAAAACACGTCCAATAGTCATCGTTTTCGTACACTGTAATTTAGAGGTATTATATTATTATTATTGTTATTATTGTTGTTGTTGTTGTTGTTGTTGTTGTTTTATTATTATTATTATTATTATTATTATTACTATTACTATTATTATTATTATTATTATTAAATAACAGCACACGTGAATTATAGTATTCATACACCGATAACTACAACTAATACATATAACTATTAAGCATAATATTATAACATAGTAGTGTCTGTACTAAATGATATAAAATAGGTAAAGTCGAAAATAAGTTGTATTCTTTTACGAGATATTATTTTATATTATTCTATACTATTACATTTATACTATTTTTCTATTTCTCGTAGATTAAATCACTACTGTAGGTTAGGTCGGAGTGGCGATGCCCATTATACATGGGTACGTGCATTCCTACATAGTTCTTCTTGATTTTAAATTCATCTATTTGCCTACTAATTATTTGGAACTTAAAATATCTTCTATTCAAACCGAGTCTTGTGCTTTTTAACTGGAGAATTCGTATTTTTTGTGCTTCATAACTCGTTCATAATGATGTTCAGATGACTACTGAATGTTCTTCTTCTTATCATGTCCGGTTTTGGGGATATATGCTACTACTACTGAATGTTAGACCAAAGAGTATTTTAGGTTGTGTTGAATTTGTTAGCAGTACTTACACAAATAAAATTAGGGGTTTAAGTAAAAAAAAAAAACAGACTGTTGTACTTCCGTTCTACGTATTAGAATATTATTATATTAATTATTATGTTTGAAACGCAGACATTTTTTTAAATCACTGTTAAAACATATCTCTTATTGTTTAAAAAGATTCGTTATACCTGAGTGCATTGTAGGTTATTTGCATTCATCTCAGATTAAAACCAAAGATATATGTCTTCAAAGTTACGTATACAAATTGTATTTATTATTTGATCAAAAAAATTTCAATATGTACACTATACACTAAGCGTTTATAATAAGTACTGCAGAGAGTGTTACCGTTTAAAGTTATTAGTCGTTTGTTTATTATTCATGATACAAAACATTATTTCGAACATTTTAATCATATAATATATAAAAACCCTTAAAGTTCAATGTGCTCAATCAAATATGGTGATACGACGGTCTATTACAACACTGTAAAATGATAGTGTCTATAGATTTTTACAAACAACTCAAAATTCAACGACAACAAGCTACAAAATTACATTCACGATACTTTTCATGAGTTATGGCATAAAATGTTTTAATATTACTTATACTTTAATGCTCTAGACTCGGTTTAAATGTAAACAAAACTCCTTAAACATTTATATTTTCCTTTTACTTTACGTTTTATCACTTCTCTATATTATTATATATAGTTAATGTTGTTGTATAGTATTAAAACAGTAGGACGTACTGCATGAACACCCGTTTATTCTACCGTAGAACACCGGATATCCGGGAAATATAATTATATTGATTTCGACTTATTTCAATCATCGTTCTCGACACACATATTTCAACTATTATATATATATATATATATGTATATACATATATATTATATAAATATACCGAGTTGTATAATATATATCGAAAAATAAACGACATGTTTTTTTTTCCTATTGAAAAATGTTAAGGTCGCGGAGTTCGGGGCAACAACAACGGCGGAAATGCAGAAACCGTAAGGTCTCCGACGACCAAAAGTCCCGTGGCACTTCCGGCGGAACCAAAAACATCTGTGGCTGTGGACATACAGCCCGACGTGTGAATCTTGACATCGAAAAATATAACAATATAATATGCCTGCGTCGCGTCACGGTGTATTTAATGCTTAAAACAGGTGTCAGGACATCGCAGACAATGATTTTATTTTTAAACAAAGTTATTCTTCTTCTTTCTACTTTATCCGCAAATGGGCTTGATTGCTTTTGGGACCACGGCTAATGGTTTATTAATTTTTCAATAATATTCGAACATAATAATAATAATATGTATCTAAACATAATATAATATTATTATAATTATATTACATTATTATGATTTTTAAACATCTCTTTAAGAATATATATATATTTATGATATATATCGATAAATCGCAATGACTGCGTGCTATATTTTTAAAATTATTTTAATACTTGGAACTCACGATGCTTAGAATACGTAGAACTAAGCACTTGGCAATATTAGCCGAGAGCTATATTCTTCACACAGTAAAAATATTTTACAACATGAATTTGTATTACTTGAATATTTAAAATAACTAAATAATTTAACGTACTTATTATAATAATTATTATGCTATGAACTCTGCATTCATATAAGTATAATATAATATATACATATAAAACATATTATACACAATATAAATATAATATAATATATTTAACTCTTAGACTCACGAAATTTAATAATATTCGTAACTATAACTAATACACATTTTTTTTTTTTATTAAATATAATATCATCATATAATTACTTACATATACGACGTATCATCCATCAATTAACAATGTATAGATTTTTTTTTTCAATTTCGTTTAAGTAATCTAAGTATTGTAAGTATAAATTTAAAATTTTTTTGAATAAGTAATTATATTATATATATAATATTTATAATATTTAATTATATACATAAACCTAGCGCGTAATTTCGTTTAAGTAGGGTAGGTTATCGTTATAATAATTATGAATAATAATAATAATATAAGTATGACAAGACATTTTTTATTCTTTAGATTGTAAGTTAATATTATAAATAAAAAATAATAATATACATAAACGATAATAGTGTTAGGACCTATTGCATGTATTTATTTCTATAAATGCATTTCAGAAAGGCGATATGGACTCACCATTATTTTTAACCGTTTACAGGGGTCTAAGGTGGATCTCGAGACTTGAGAAAACAGAGGGAAGGTTTTCTCGAGTTCAAAAACGCCTTAGAACTTGTAAGCGTAAAATTTAAATAAAAATAACGGTTTTTTCTTACCGCTTTTCGTCAATTGTAATTATTTCCATCAATAGATATTAATTACATAATTATATCTTTAAAATAATATGGTAGATGTTAAAAATTATTCAAACTACATTAATTATTTGTCCTTAAGATTTTACCCTAATTTATTAATTAATAATACTTGTTCGCAATAAACTGCTCAATAAATTTAGACGTTTCAAAAGAGCAGCTTGCTTTTATAAATGTAATATTTTGTTCACGTTACATTTTTTGTCCCTTTGTGATAAATACTAAAACTTTCTATTTAGTTACTTTACATGTCAAATTAATCTTAAACAACCATGTATATTGTTTCTTTAAACTCAAATTTGTTTAGACTAAGATTAAAAGCACTTTCACAATATTTTGTTTTTTTACATTGTATTTAAAATTAATTTATAATACCTATTATACCTACTAGTGATATTTTTGTAATATTTTTACCACTATTCGTTTCCTTTAAATTATAATCATTTTTCCTGTCATTATTCTCCTCCTCTAACCAATAAAACAAGTATATCAAAACGCATTTGTTTATTTTTATTTAAACCTGCCAACCTTCGACTATCCTCCGATAGAGGAAAAAATAACTCATTAGATAATTTACTTAAATTTAGTGGCTATTAAGTGTATTACATTACTTTACTTGTAATCCTGTATGACTGTACGGGCACCACAAGTTGTAGAGTTTTTAGGTCGTATGATATTAATATGAGTAAGATTACAAAGCCAATAGTTATGAATAAAATACATTTTTCAAGAAAGCTTGGCTAACATATTATAGAACTTTGTATTAATGTCTAAAAATAAACTAAATAACTTTTATGCTTATCTAACAAAACATGAATTCGTTCTAAGAAATATTATATAATGATTAATACAAGTTTGATTAAAAAATTAGACACCATAATTTAAGAAAATAATAACAAATTAGAAGACAATAATTAATTGTAATAAAAAAAACATAAAAAATTCCAAACATTTTATTTTAAAATTAAGTTTCAGCAATATTTCTATATAAATTATACTATAAATTTTGATGAGATCATATAATATTTTAACATGAATTGAATATATTATAACTCGGTGTAAAAAATATACTTTGTTGGCGTGTCCATGGGAGAAGGATTTAAAATAATAACAACATTTTCAATAATAAATCATTTTCCGGTAACATTTTTCAAAAAAACCACCCGCCCCCCCCCCTGAAAAAAATTCTGGAAACACCACTAATGCGATAATGTAGTTTTGTAGAGTTGTCTAAATTTACGTTCAGAAAATTGACCAATTTGACTAAAATCCTAATTTAGAAATACATTAATGAGACATAAAATTTTTCCTATAAATAATATGTAATAGTAAGTTATTTTGTAAGCGTGTTATAATAATATTTTATGACATAAAATATTTGCATATTATAAACCATGCTTTTAAAATTTAAAAAATTTGTTGATTTTCCAGGATAACGTTATAGTAACTCCAAAATTTTTTTTCAACGATGGATCTTTCAACGTTTTGAAAATCGTTTGCCAAATTTTACGGCACACTGATGGTTGTCAATCAGTTGATACTAGAATGGGTAATACAGATATAAAAGAAGTCCTACTAGTTTACAGGTTGCTAGAACAACTACCGATTTCGACATAATATGCTACGCTATTATGATCACATGCTTATATTTCGGGTGAAAGTCTTACAAGTTCCCCTCACTAAGAGACACGAGTTTATAATATTATTATTTATTAGTAACTAAACGTTTATTTCTTCTTTTATTTCGATTGAGATAAGTTCATAATATTATAGGTAGCTGGTACCTATATTCTTGTTTTAATTTGCATTTCTTTGATTACGATGATTAATTTGAATATTAATGGAAACTAAGTATTATACCCATTTAGATAATCATAAATAAATAAATAATAAAGATAAACAATTACTGGCTTAAGAAATTAATTTAAAATACTTTATTTATTACATTATATCTAAAATAATGTTTCCAAAAGTCGATGAATCGGAGCTAATAAAGAACGAGTTTAGCAGGTTGAAAGGTAAGTCATCATTTTAATGAAACAAACGTTACTTTTGTAATTATTAATTATATATTTTTCCAAGCTTACAGTTTTGTTTACTTATCGTTAAGTTATTTTTTAAAGATATATTCCCATAAGTTAAAAAAATACAAACTTAATGAAAGTTTATATTTACAAAAAAATAACGAGTGTTGCTTTTTTGCATTGGTTAATTAAGTCTTAACTTTTAACTTTTTCATCAGAAAGTTATTCGAAACAATATTTATAGTGATTAAACAAAACGTTAGCAGAATACTAATATCTAGTTATAACTTATTTTCTCTTTAAAATCAAATATTTAAATTCGCTTGAAAAAAATATATGACGTATTATACATTATATAGTTTGAATATTTAAATTATATAGAGCTACTGATTGAATCTACAATTACTAGTCAACATAGAACAATTTTAATTTGAATACGATTCCTTTATTTTACCTAACAATATAGGCACATTAGTATTACAACATTTGTTTTGATCAAAACCCATTTTGATATGATATTATACATACAATATAAAATAAATAGGCATCTATAAAATAAATCACAAAGACAATTAATAGAGTCGCAGTTATATTATATCCAATCACAGTTCATTTGAAAAAAAATTTTTAAATTGGTTCATATTAATAATAAAGAGTAATTAAACTTGACCTTGGAGTATTGTAAGAAATATAGGGTGATCTATTTAACGATAAATAATAAGATGGTCATTAATGATTATGAAATAAAAATACGTTTTTGAAAATTCTTTTTACATAATTTTAAGACGTTAGTATATTTTTACCATTTGTTTTCGTTATCATTTGTTTTTACTATTTGTTATCGTTATCATTTTTTTTAATTTTAACTTTTTTTTAACAGCATCAATTAGTTGTAATTTCTTATTCCAAAGCTGAATACTTATTGGAGTACTTCGATTTTTATTAAGTTATTCGTTTATGATTTATGACGAGCTGGGTAGAGTGGTAAACTGAAAAATGTTGGTCCCACTACTCCGTCCTTATAAACTTTGAATAGGTACTTAACTAATAAGCTATTTGTCAGAAATTTGATTTTGAAGCATCGAAGGACATTGAATAAAATATTCTGCTTAGGAGTATGAAATTACAAATGTACCAATGATATCATTCAAAAAAGTAAAAACATTAAAAAAATTATAACGATATAAAAATACTAAAAATATTATTTAGCAACGACTTAAAATTATGTAAAATAAACATTTACAAAAACGCGAGTGTGTGAATATATTGTATACAATTGTAATTTACTATTGAAGTCCTGAAACATAGACTATAATATTATACGACCCACCCATTTCATGTCCACGGAAAAGTGGGCAATGAAACAGAAAACATCTGTCCGGTTTTGTATAGCAATTAGCAACTTAAAAAAAAAAGTTTACGGAACAACTCACTTAACCTTGTTATAAAAGTCGCCTGTGACCTATGTAATGTGTTATAATTATGCATAATATTTCGTTGTTAATTTTTTACCCGGTCACAGTACACTTCAACCGATTTGCTCATAAAGTTGACTTCATTCATTACACCGAAATACGTTTCATTATTTGTTCATATTTTCTCGGGTGAATTCGGACGTAATACAGCTAGTTTATTGTAATATAAATTTAATTAATATGCCTACCGTGGACCGTGATAGTAACACTTTAGTCATATGCTTGACGATTTAAATATTCACGAATTAAATATTATCTATTATTATTTATTAATACCTAAAGGACACACATCACGAGACACACGACGATAGTAACGTCATTAGGATTTTGTAAACATTCAACCAAATAGTTACCGTATTTTTTGCCAAGCTATATTCATGTTATATACCTATACTACTACAGTCTACGATGTTGTTTTAAAGGAATTTGTTATCTGGACCACGCTGGTTCAGCACTGTACGCTGACAGTCAAATAGACAACGTGATGAAAGACCTGAAAATGCACTTGTACGGAAATCCTCATTCAACCGGTGATCCGTCGGCAACTTGCGAAAAACTCATAAATAATGTTCGATTTAAGTACGTAAATATTGTTAAAAGAATGACTAAGGAACTGTACGTTTACGTGAAATAATATACATTGTCTCATCTGTCATAATAAAACGTAAAATTCAACTAAAAACTTAAGCAACCGAAGGCTCACCAGCCATGTATTATTGATGTTCGCATAATACGTATTACCCTATATATAATATATAGCGAGCACCTTACAAAAACGGTTTTATACATTTGTCATTTATGTGATAACTGAGAGTAGGGTGGTATAAAATACGAACGTCGTAAAACGATAGTAGAGCATAATAATAATACACTATTATAGACTATAGTTATTATAAACCGAAGCTCATAACTTAGGTAGGTACCTACTTATTTTACGCGTTGTACAATAAGTAACTCTTCAAGACTTTAACAACATTTTCATACTTCTCGGCTGAGGCAGTATAGTTAATATTAGTTAATAAATTATTTTTAGAATAATCTGATGTCAACGTTTAAACGACAAAGGGATATTGTTCGGTAACGATGTCATTTATTATCGAGCCAGAACTACAAGACAAGTCATCAGTCGTGCGAATTTCGTTTGGTGACATAAACAACTTGTGGAGCTGACAAAATAGTGTATAGCTGGCTAGCGCACTAGAAAGACAAATGACGGTGGGACAAAGCTGTTGGAGTATAGTTTGAATTTCGTAAAATTCGTTTTTCGACAACGAAGCGGAATGCGTCTTTACTTACACATGACTGTGCACACTTTCCTAAAAAAAAAAGCTTTTATCTTAATTTGTTTTAAATCCGTGTGAACAAAATCGTGTATTATACACCATTTAAAAGTCACAATTTTCTTTAGTTGGTTGTAAACTATGATGTACAATATAGGTAGGTACATCATATTATTATTATTATTATCTTCTACATTTTTAGTCAGTTATATACTACGTTTAAAAGTTTACTTCGAGTAGGTACATTGTTGTAAAGTCTATAGTTATAAAAGGTTCATATTATATGTAGGTAATGAATAAGTATAATATTAAAATGTACATATCACAAAGTATATTTTAAATCAATTTACACGACATCATGGCATATCTAATAACATAATTATGTCAATGTTCCAAAATGTTAAAGATAATTTGATATTTTAATATCAAGTAGGTATATGAATGACATAAAAAATGATTTTTATTATACCTGATTATGGATGTGATACTAAAAATTCTCACCGAATTGAATATATAAACAATATTCTAATATTTTCGTTGGTATATTAATAATTTTGTTTAGGTGCATAACTTTTTAATGTGTTTACTGTTTAGTACTTAATTTTAATTCTGTTAAGTCATATATTCAGTAGAATTAAATTGTTCTGAATATGCCAATATATCTTTAAAAATTTAAATTGAGAGTATATATTTTAATTATTATAAGTACCTATATTTCAGTATTTCATAATTAATGTTTTCATCAATTTTCTGTGTAAATCCAAGTTTTTAATTACATTTCATGTACAGAGGTGTTAATAATTTAGGTGTTCAGCGATCTGAAAATGTCATTTCAGTAAAACATAATAATATAGTGATACAAGTTTAACAAATAATGATTTGGTTTTAATTAAAACTGCATAATTAGTAGTGAATTGTGATACATAAAATGATAATTGTTTATTCTTGTTTATTTAAAAATCGTGTAAAATATTTTGTTTTTATATGCAATTAAATTCTTCGTAGTATAGTAAGTATTATAATAAACGTATTTTTATTAAATAATATACTTTCTAGTAAGTAATTGGAAATCAAATATAATTTACAGGTAATTTTACACATCATCTTTTTTTAATTACTTACTACTATTTTATATTCTAAGCGGAGCGATAAATGTATTAATTTTACCATGATCTATGTTTTTTTTTAAAAAATTTTTTTTTGTTTCTGTCACCACATTTTAAAACAGTAAAATAGTGTTTGGATTTTCTTCAACAGTATCTTTCTGATAGGAAAGTGAATCTAGTTGGAACGTTGGGGGGGTCGAAAGTAAAAATTCCAAATGTTATACAAGGCTCCTTATATATTGTTACAATAGCAGTGGGAAAATATTAGAAATACATAGGCACAATTTTGTTTTTATAAGCTTTTTAAGTTTGAATTTTGACCAAAAAAATTTTACTCCCTCTTGAATAAGTTATTGGGGCAACACTGAAATCTATACCACGGTCCTTACAAAACCTAAGCTTTAGGTTACATAAAATGTAAATTATCTACATCGTGGGTTAATTTTATATTCATATAATAACCTCCCTGCGTGACGAGCAAATAATTTTCTTTCATGAAATTGTTTTCCTAGAATAGTCTGGTTGTTGCATAAATCCCTGCATAGTGTATAATGCATATGCACAAACTTTGCCGACTTGTCGTGATCGATGGACGCAGAGGTGTGACAAAAAATAGTATGGGTGGCTCGTGCGGGAAGGCAATTTCAGTCTTTAGAGTAATGCGGCACTCGACTGCGGCTCGCTACACATGTCGCCCGCGACTGAAATTGCTCACATTCAGCCCTTGCCACACAATATACTATTGTATATATACCTACAAGTAATACCTGAAGTAACTTCAATGACGTTAATATATACCTATTATTAATTTTTATTATTATTATAAAGTATAAACAATAAATTAACACTATGTCGTATATAAAATTGATATTATACTGTGTTGGCTAGTATGGTTTATTGTTGACGACGATTGTGCCTATACACTGTTTAATCGACTAGAATTAGTTTATTTATATTGTAATATTTCGACAGTAAATTGTATCCAATAAGAATTTAATTTTTTTAAGTTTGGTATTTATATATTATAGTGTTTAAATTAAAGTAAATCAAAGTAATGTTTTCAATTAATTGTATTACTATTCCTCGATTTAAAATAGCTGCCAACACAGTACTTAGCGTGCAAAGTTTCACGCGTGAAGTGATATTCCGTCAACCAATTAAGATGTGGCTGCAGGTCGTAGTTTTCTATAATTAAAATTAATTATACAATTTATAGGTGCACTTAGGATAGATTTGATAAGCCAGATTCATTCAAAAACAGCTTTTAGTTAAATAATTTATCAGCGAAAAGTATTTTTTTTATCTAGATAAAGATAAAGAAAATGCAACTCAAATGTATCTAGATATATATAAAAGATAACTTAACTCATATTTGTCTAGATAATGCATAGATAAGTAGACAAGTGGTGTCTCTCTGCTGTACAGTAGGTTACGATTAGTCATTAGATCACTGTAGTCTTTAATGGATAGTGTTAAATTTGAATTCAATGATATAATACCATTGAGTAAGAAAAACGATTCTGAGCGAAGACAGTCAATCAGGACTCAGCCTATAATATCTTATATTATAATAGGTATATAAATTTCGTGTCACGTGTTTGCCCGGGATAAACTCCGAAACTACTTTACCGATCTTGATTACATTTTTACACTGTGTGTAATTTGGTCAAACTTAAAAGATAGGCTAGTTTAAAAAGGCAGAGGACAAACCCCGGAAGGTGCTCAAACGGGAATTTTGAGATTTCAAAAGGAAATTTTTGTTTATAAATCGTTGCCATGAGTGACGTCGTATAAAATGATTCGTTCTAGAAATTTCAATCCAGAATTATAATGAATCGTTTTAATTCGTTGCCAGGAGAACAAAAAAATAATTTATTATAAACATCGACGATTTGAAATTGTACATAATATACGTCATATTCAATCAGTATTATTACTATGCGTCTATAAGCAACTGAACCAAGTTTGAGTCATATAGAGTTGATACATTTAACGGGCAACGAAGTTCGGATCAGCTAGTTACTAAGTATATTTGATGATATTTTTGTGAATAAAGTAATTTATTCCCCTATTTACGTTTTAAATTTTCAATCCTTAGCTATAAACGGTAAACATTTTATACATATTTAACTACAAAATAAATTTTAAATTTGATGAATGGTGTCAAAAATCGAACTTTAAGTACATATAAAAAAAAATTATGCCTATGTATTTTTAATATTTTAATATATTAATAAACAGTTAGATTAACTGTTTAAGTCATGCTAATACCAAATAACATAACGTATCTAGTCCAATATATTTTCACTATATTTCTGAAACCTTAATTTTCTAAAATATACAAGTATCTATTATAAATCCTTTTAAAATCACCTTTTAAATTGACAATCAAGTTAGGTACTTAAATATTTGATTTTATCGATGAGGCAACGACCAACAAATGATTAAATTTACACTAGTCTGTATATACTATTATATATTTTACTACTCAGTAGGTACTCTTGCTATATTAAGGATTCTAATATTGTATACAATTTGTTAATACGGCAAAAGTTTCAATAATATAATACATTTGGCAAGAATTTATAAAGTGGTGAATATATAAACATATAATATACAATTTAACTTGGTTGTTATTAGAGTTCATTTTATAGTGACCTGGTGAAGCACGTTGATTAGACGCAGTCACTAATATAGTAATGTGTCGGCGGTCGAGCAGGCCCTCAGATGGGTGACCACCAGGGTTCTTTGTGACGATCTATCTGCCTCATATAAAAAAACGAGTACCAAAAACCTAACCCATAATACATATACATGGCCACATAATATGGAGGTTTAAACATCCCAGGAAATGTTTTCAAACAGTATTATTTTTTGACATAACACAGCTAAATGTAAAATACTAAAATATAACTTTGAATTTGTTTTAAATATTATTTTGTATAAACTATTCGACAATTCGATTATATTGACGTTCACACGTTCTAATTTATGTTTTAACGATTTTTAGTCGTTAAATCTGTAACAATTGATTTATATACTGAACAATATAAAAATAATAAGAAACAATATTTGTTTGTGTTCACATAAATATTTTGATTGAACTAAAACAAATAGGTACCAAACATTCCGAAAAGGGGAAAAATTTTGCAAAAACAGGAATATTTAATATTCTATCGAAAAAAGGGTGGGACAAAGAATTTAGTATACAAAATTGAAAATGACAAAATAATATTTTGTGAAAAATTTAACACTTAAAACTATAAAGAAAAAAAAATACGACGGACAGGAGACACAATTAACCAGGATGGCGAATTAGAGCTGATATGCAAAATGACTACTGGTCACCTCTGCAACGTCCTAGTAGTAACCGGTCCCTTGGGTTAACGGGTGTCGCGGGCGCGTTTGCTCGGACGCGTGACGACCAGCCGGAGAGGTCAGACCGAGTCATGGGAGCTATGGTCGACACGGCGACTAGTGCGCGATGTCGTGTGCTTTGACGGTGACGACTATGGCGACGGAAAGCGGAGACCAATAGACGCTGAGCGAGTGAACCGAGACTTGGTCTTGTGGAATCGGCTGTGACCGCGGACAAGTGACCCGGCCGATGTGGGATTACCGAAAAGTACAATAAGCTGCGATCCTCAACTCCCTGTAATTTTCATCCTGACGATGTCCCTTCAGCAGCGTCTTCGTCCGCAATCACCCCCGAAGTGGAGTCCCGCGCCGCCGGACCCTGAAACCGTCGAGTTTCCACGGGTCTGGCGCCGCTGACAGCACACTCTCACTCTCTACTCCGTACCAAAATCGTCGCCACTGCCGTCGTGGTCCGTCGCTCCACGCCACCGTATAACCTGCCACCAGAGGGTCTCGAGCGTCAACGACGACCGAGCGCGCTACGCCTGCGAACCGGTCGTGTCATGGATAGCCGGAGAAAGTGCAAGGGTGACATACCCCCGTGCACCTTCCGTGCTCTTTCTCGTGTCCTCCCCTATTTTTCGTCAACGTCATCATGTCCGTCGTCTTTTGCCCAGAGGGGTAGTGACAGTCTGAGCTACGGACGGCATCCGCAGCAGCACAGCAAGCGGAAGACGCGCTTCACACATTTCTCACTTTCCCGCATGCAGCTTCTGCCTGTACCAGCTCACCGTTCGGCTCACAACTGTTCTGCTCTTCGATTTCCTTTGCCGGCTCAATTCCTCCTCGGCCGAAACGATGTTGTCTTTGCCTTTTAACATGTCACTCTCTAGCGGTGCGACCAGTTCAGGGCTATTTTCACAGTTGTTGTCATAGGTGATTTCAGTGATGGTCAACGACTCGCCGCTAGAGAGTGACGAAGTTATTTGGGCTAATACAAATACTAGTGGCTCCACCAGTATCACCACGATGGCGATCGCCGCCATCCACGTAAAATTCTTTATTGCCATTTGCTACATTTTCCACTATCCTCTCAAGGTTTGCTTCTAGTATGGCTTTATGTTTTTTATAGCTGTAATGGCCATTATGAAATTATTCTGCGGATATATGTGTGGAACGTCCGTTGAATTGAGTTTTGTTAATGAGTTAAATAGATACCGTCAACACACAGACCGATTAATTCGAAAATCACCCAGATGTGTGTTGCTAGGCAGCTACTTCATAGTTCTCATCGGCCTGCAGCATTAGAATTAAAGCTTTTACTATATAATAATTCATAATATAATCACACATTTCTGTATCCTGTGAACATAATATAATGGTCAGTGAATAGACTCGAATAGACATATTTTGTACCAACATAGACCCCACTTATTAGTTATTTTATAGTGATTGTCGATTGGCGAGGGCGCAAAAACTTGTTGTTCCCTCTATTAAAATGGACGATGGGGATAGATCACGATTTAAGTACCTTATTAAGTACATTCACTAAGATATAATATATTATCTATCTCAATGAGTATATCCAAATACTATATACTATATACTATACCGATTTACGATTTTCGTAAACATTTTCTGATAAAAGATTCTAAGAGGAGCAATTTATTGATTTCACGATGATGTGTGTTTTTTTTAATTTTAATTTTTTGTGACTGTGTACACGATAAGTAGTTGAAATAATGCTTCGATTTTCGACTTCAGTATCTTGTTCGATGGGAAAATGAATCTAGTTGCTGCATTGAAGCTGTCAACATTTAAAATTCCCAGTACTTTTCAAAAGCACCTGGAAAAAGGGGAATTCTTACTCTCGTTTTTCGTGTAAAATGATATGAAAAAATGTAATGAATAATATCCTATAATATCAAAATAAATATAAACATTTAAGAATTTTATACTAAATTATTAGCATTTTATATTGCATTTTTTGCATTTTAAGTGCATATTTTATTTCATTTTTTTGAAATTTTTTTGGTTTTTTAGTGCATTAAATTCAGAGCCCTAATGTATATTAGAGCGGTACCCACTTGTCCAATTTTATATACTCTCTGTTTTACTAGGAAATTCTAATTTATATTTCTCTGGAATGGAATGTCCAATACAGTAATATTTATATACTTGATACAATTTTCAAAATATGTTGACTTATTTTGAGCTGTTATAAGCATTTTAATTTAAATTGTTATGATAGAATCGAATCGTTTTCTTATACAATGATATTATATTATTGAATTCAAATTTAACATTATAAATTGCATGAGCCACTAGTAACCTACTGTACATACGAACGACACCCACTTGCCCATCTTTTTTTAAAATTATATTTTATTATTCTGCTGAAATTTTAATATTATAAATAAAAATGATGTTATTGAAGTCAACATTTTAATATATACATTTTAAAGTACTATACTAGCTACAATGTAGTCAAATTCAACTTAGTGGCCTGGTGTTTGGTAGTGTGGCGTGGTGATTATCCACAGTCACAAAATGTGTTCTGAGTGAGCACCGGTCGGTGTCATTCGTTCCCAAATGGGTTACTACTCGGGTTTTAGTGACAAATACTTGTCACACGTCTTCCACGTGTTCAAACCAACCGCGGTAGTACACACTCAGTAAAAACTAACTTAAAAATAACCTCTACCCTATGGCCCAATATGTTGCCACGACCCACGGGTTAATGAATAAAAAAAATTCACCTTAAAACCTTTACTTAGTAGGTATAGTTGGTGTTAAGAGTTAAGACCGTTGACCACGAAAAAGCATATTCGGCATGCACTATAATATGCGTATTGAGTTTTTTTCACGATAATTTGAACATTATTAAATTTACTCACTAAGGTTACTCACTAAGTTGTGAATAATTTTTATAAAAGGTCATCAGTTGGCTGTATTTTCCAAAACTCGATTTAAATAACTTCGATAACTGCATGTTCGGAGAGTATAATAGTATGCGTGTTTGAAAATGTTGCTTACAAATATAATATAATAGGAGTAGGTATTATTTAGTATGAATTATCTACTTGTAAAAATGAAATGGGTTTCGAGCTTATCAGAAAAAAGGAATTATTTGGATACTGTAGGGGTGGGCTACTTCACAAATTCAGATTTATTACAATGAATCATTTTCAGTCAGCCTATTTCAATAATACATTTATAATAATAAATTTCAATAATAATAGATATTCTTTACAACTTTATAGACATTACGGTTATAATATATAATAATATATTATAATATTATATAATATGGATATCAAATAACGTTTTATGTTACCTATTATAAATGTATACCTATATTATTATAATATATTAGGTAATTTTGTTATATAAGCCATTGATTTATATCCATAGAAATCGGGTATGAGACACCTGTATCGCTTGTAATAGGTTGTATTTGATTGGAAGTTTGGGATAGGGCCCGCAAGAACATTAAGTACTGGGGCCCAATATGTTATGTGAGCGAGGGGGCGCCGGGGGCCTAAATATAATATGTATCATACCTACTTGCTTTAATTTATATATTATATTATACCTTCGTCTTAAATAATTATAATCGTTCAACCGCGCGTTAATATAATAATGACATGATTGTGTTTTTTGTGTCGTCCCCTCAAAGGATCCTCAAACACTTCAACACTGGACCCGAAAAGTACAGCGTGGTATTCACGTCGGGTGCCACCGGAGCGTTGAAGATCGTAGCCGAATGTTTCGCGTGGGAAGACGAAGAAGGCGGCCGACCAGAGGACGGTGTAGGTGAGATCACGACCTTTCACGTATATTAAATATGACGATAAACGATCGATAAATATGTAACTAGGCAGTGTTCGTACTTTAATGATTTAAAAAAGTAGTAATATTATAGGCACTAAAAATCAATAATGAACTCGATTAAAAATAATGTATTTTTAAAAGATATTGTTGGTCAATTCATGATCAATATCAAATTGAATCAAATTTTTGATTTTCCAAGTTTTCAGTGGGCATATTAATATTAAAAATTATCCTGATCACATAAAAATTCGTTAACAAGTCCTTAAATCATGAAATAATTTCCTGTCCTTCTAAGTAATAATAAACCTACAATAAATACTCAATCGATTTAATTTATTTTATAATGTCATGAAATGAAATTATAGCAATAAATCGTATACCTAATTAGTTATATGCAAAAATATAAATCAAGCAAATGTAAATACTAACTCGATGACTGGTATTACAAGTAATATATCATTTAGATCAGTGTATAATGTGTACCAAAACAGACGAATGACTTAATCTTTTAAATTTGAGATGATCATAAAAAATATGAATTCTATCTGTGACGAATAAAATATATTTTGACAGCTTATAACATACATTATCGATTGTTGTAATTTAAAATATGTCAAATGTCAAAGATCGTCTCAAATGTGGAACGCGTTATCGCCTCCGAAAAAGGTCATCACCCATCAAACATCTACCAGTTACTGTAATATTAAAGCAGTGCCTCATAGTCATAGGCGTGCGCACGGGGCGAGCCGGTCAAGCCCAGGCTCGACCTGAAACTTTTTAGGGGCATAGTAAAATGTGCGTATATATTTAAATATTTTATTATAATGCTTATATTATAATAATATGTTCGTGGAGATCATGAAAATTGTGTTTGTCGTGAAGGTATAAAAAAATCAAAAATATTTGTGTGTACCTACCTAACCTAACCATTACATACATTTTATTAATCTAAAAAAAAACATTATACCTTTATAGGTACAAATACAATAACTAGGTATAGTACTATAGACATTAATAGGTTAATATATTATCAACATTTATGTTGGTGTGTTAAAAAAAAAATTAGGGGCGCGGTCCAAATATTAGGGCACTATTAGGCTCGACCAGAAATTTAAGTCTGCGCACGCCTATGCTCATAGTGTACCTACCAGCAATACATGAGTGTGGCCGGTTGATTTAATTCGATTTAATAATATACCTACACTTGAACTTGACGCATCGCGCTGACGACAGAATATATCAATATAATATATTATTATAACGATGTACGGAATGAGACATCTCTTTTTCTCTCTCTCTCTCTTTCTCTCTCTCTCTCTCTCTCTCACTCTCTCTCTCACTCTCTCAATCTCTTCATCGTACACATCTACTTATAACTCCAAGTCATAGTATAATATTATGACGTGTCGTAATAACGTTAATATAATTTGATTCGCGTCTAATGTGAATGTCACGCGACGGAATGACAACCATAAACGGCATAAACCGCCCTATCAGTCACCGAAAATCACGTATAAATACATAAATTCTGCGAGTTTAACACATTTGCACACATATATTATACATAGTATGTAGTATGTACTTCCACTTCAATAGTATGATAACGGCGTCAGATATTTTACATTTGAAGAAAAATATTATATCGTTTGCACCGAACTCCTAATAAATGAGATTTATCGTGATACATAATAGGTAGATATGCGTACGAATGTACGATAGTACTAAACATGATAATATGACCATCATTCACCAGCTATGTGAATTCAATGAATTTGCATTTCATCTGAATTCAAAATAAGTACGAAACAAATTTGATTCAACACATTGAAAAAATACGAAATTATTTGCATATTTTAGCTGTATAATGCATAGTTGTTTTCCTTCATTATTATTATTGCATGTTTAGCGAAATGAATATGGATTTGTTGTAACTTGTTTCATAGGTACTATGATATTATTACGATTTGATTTTATTTAAAATGTTATTGTATTAAAATTGTATTCGATCAAACGATTTTTTTTTAATATACATAGATGGTAGGTATAGATATAGGTATAGGTATGCTAGGTATGTACGCATATTATTTATTGGTAACTTAAAAAACCGTTAACCATGATCATGAATTTATTTTGTGTTCGCATATCTTGGAATGTTTCGTGCACAATTCTTTATTTTTGAGTTCATTAACCCCTCACAGTCCCGTGGAAAATCGCCATTTAAACTTTAGCATGCGTC